CTGTCTGCTGATGAACGGTGGGCGAAACCCAATTCTAAGAGTCGGTGCCAACCACGTTCTATGATAGAGGATTTGCTGCAAGCATATGTTACTTGAGCCGAAACAAGCAGAAGACGTCAAGCTTGGGAGATCATGTGCATCAACCATGCATGAATCCTGATCGCAGGCGGTGCTTGTCAGAATTTATTCGATCCGTGGGCGAAGGGTCTTTCGGCGCGGGGGTCTTCGTGTCGTTCGAGCTCGTTGCTGTGGCTTTTGAGATTTGGCCTCTTGGGCTGCGTCTTTGGATCTGGAAAGTCACCGACAGGTTTCCCTTCAGGAAACCAGAATTTGTTGTTCTTCCTCGGCTGGGAGTCTGGCTAGCATGCGCGAGCTATATAGAAATGAAATGGTCAGGGGAGCAGCGCCAGAGGGGCGGAATGCAGTCCGGCCCCGGCCGCAGGATGGCCTTGGCGAAGGCGCGAGGCCAGCGGTACCGCCAGGCATTGGGCGAGGAGCGCCTTCGCTGAATTGCGCAGATGCGGGTCTGGCCGAGCTGAACTTCGGGTTCGAAAGCATTTCCCACGTTCACGAAGGTCACAGCATCAACAAGCTCAAAGCGAACGAGGGCATGCTCACGATTCACTGCTTGGTAGTCATATAAGTCATACACTTCTTGGCCACATGGGCAGAGCCAAAGGAAGTCCTGGGCTCCAACTCGGTCCACCAAGTCCAAAAAAACCAGAAACTGTTCGGTCGGCAGGTGCAGCAGGTAGTTTGCCACAATGAGATCAAAGGGTAACCCGTCGTTGGCTCCCAAAAGTGCTTCGGCAGTTTGATTTGTCAGCGTGAAGTCTCCGGCCACGATCTCGAAGGAGACGTTGTTGAGCATGCGGTTCGTCTTGAGCAATTGAAGCTCCAATGGATCTAACTCTAAGGAGACAACATAATGTCCCATCAAAGAAAGAGCAATGGAATCTACGCCTTTGCCAGCACCAAGGTCAGCAACACGCAAAACTGGACCAGGTGCACCGTCTCTTCCGTGCAACGGCTGCAACAGATGCGCTTCAGTCAGCAGGTTGGGAAAGAAGCTTTTCCACGGGTAATCTGACGGATGCAACCGAGCCTTGATAAGAGGCAAACCTGGATATCTCAGCTGGACACTGTCACGATTCATGCAGAACGTGCCTGGTCCATAGGTGTACACACAACAGTGGTGGCGCTTTGTGGCACGAGGGCGCATGCCATCGATGTCTGTCCAACATCTCTGCGACTTTTCCCAAGGATCACAGCAGCAGTGGTCGTACGCATAGATCCTGTACAAGAACGGATCCTCATGAAGCCAGCACCTAGGAAGAGTGAAAAGATCCGTCCCGTGTCGAAGGCGCAGGCCGCGGCGCATGAGCCAGGAATTTGCGACAAAAACAATGTCGGCGCTGATCGTATCTGCAGCTGCATCCCAGCAGCTTATCAGCCACACCAAGGACCGGAGAAGACTCAAGCCCATCGAAACCAACTACCATATCTGCTGCCGGCAAACATGGAAGCAGGCGCGAGCTGTGAGAACCTTGCAGCACTTTGTCGGTAGAGTAGATCACGCGATAGCACCGATAAAGACGTACAAATTTCGAGCTGCACTACCTACTGACACCAAGATATGACTGATGCAAACCGAATCAGCAGCACCGTGTGCACGAAGCAATGCCGCACGTGACCTACTTCTCACGGCAGCTCAACCTGACATGCGGTCACAGGCAGACAAAGAGGATGCAGTCAGCACCAGCCGAATATGCAGAGGCCCGACATTCACGAGGAATAATTGGGTATCATGGGCTGTGAAATCTGCTCCATCTCCACCCATTGCATAGACTCATAGTCTGCAGGCAATCTGTGCACAGGGACAAGGCTGTTTAAGATATGTGATGCAGGGCCCTCGCCGATTGTGGTCATGACACTACGAAGGTTTCTCCAAAAGTGTTTCAGTGAACGGCAGGGTAGTTTCGGGGCTAGATCAAACGGATCAGCCATGGCCAAATTATCTTTTTGTTTCGTCCGGGCACTTCTCACGCACAAACTCCTCCGTGGAGCTGCAACAGTTTGCCGGGCAACCCTTTCGCCCATGCCATGGAGCTCCTTAATTCTGCCTAGTTGAAGGCCTGCGTGCGTGCATGCACATCCGATGCCCTCCTGTACAGTGTAAAACTATGCGCCCAAAACTTCTTCCAAAGCAAGCGCGCGCAATCCTTGGCAGAATCAAGCAAATCAAAAGTGGATTTCAAGGGGTCAACAACATTCCTTGGCAGCCGAGTGGCGCTTTCTGTCCGCATAGTCAGTGCGGCGATGCCAAAGAAGAACTGAAAGTTCCTTCTGCTACCCTGCGCAGAAACGATCGAGCGAATGCAGAAGCAAATGTCTGCAGCCACCAAGGCGGTTCTCTTGGCCTGTTGTGTCACAACCGAAGGAGATGTGGCTGAACGTCACCTCACGCACTTCTGGCTCTGCAGTGTCGCTTCAAAGCCTCATCGCGCAAAGAAGCAGATATCCTCCACGCAATGCGACAGGTATGCTCTCCGACTGGCATCACGACGACTGATGCGGTGCATACCTGCTGCCAAGTATCCGACACCACAAACAGCAGCTGGAGCCGTGAAGTCTCGACACGCTGGCCCTGTGCTCGAGATGTCACGCCTCTGCCGAAGCAAAGTTCTCTTAATATTTGAGAAAAACCGCTCAAGCAGCCGCATGCAGCCGCACTACCTGCCGAAAACGGATCGGCCAGCATCATTTCATGCCATGGTCGGCTACTTCTATTGAAACATTGCGGCCAGGCAAGCGGCAACATGCTAGCAGAGAATGGTGTTGACATTCTCTTGCCACGCTGCAACACGGGAAGTCGTTCGGGAAAGTGTCCCAGCCGACTCATGCAATACAGTTGAAAAAAAAACCGCAGCCTGGGAATGGTGAACTCCCCTCACACCAACAGGCACGAAGAAGAAATCACCTACCTCAAGCAAATGCTCGCGGTGTCACAAGACCTGGTTGTGCTGCCTTTGGCGACAACCCATCCAGTATCGCCCAGGCCAGAGTTCTTACTTACGGCAATCTGTCTGTGTGCGCACGCTTCTATGGGTCCAAGCCTGATGACCGAAGCTGGGTCTGCGGTGCTGGAACACTGGCAAATCTAGAAGGAGTGTGCCTGCACGCCAAACAGGCTTCAACGCGTCACATCACAGCTCTGCAGCACTGCTCCAGCACTGCACTGGCACCAGCAGCAAGACAGCTACCGGTTCGTATGACCAGCTGGGAACAAAAGCGTTGCCATGACTGGCGAGTCCCCGGCGCACTGCTGTGAAATTAGGCTGCTGAAGTGGTCTGTGAGGTCGAACACCAGTCATGGCAAAGCATGCCAAATCTACGTGTGAGAGCGGGGCCGTTGACATGCCATGTTCGTGATTACGAAGTCCTACTGTCTAGCGCCATGCGTCTCCTGCCCGAACACATGTCTCAACAGCCTCACAAGCTGATCTCGAAACGAGTGACTGATTTCCCCAGCTTCGCCAGGCTGCAGACAGGGCAAGCAAGAGGGTGTTCCAACAGGAAACATAGGAGCCTGCAAACATTTGCCAGACAGCTGGAATGTATGACATTATTCCCTCCGTGCACCAGCATAACCTGAGAACTCACAGTCACGATCAACAGACCAGCCTGAGCAACATTCTGACCCACGACAGCGAGCAAAGGTATGGCCCCACATGCGAAAGGCGAATGCTTAACCTTGAGGCGAGCTTCATCACCAATGCGGGAAGGCCAATTTCTGAGCATCGCGCTCGTGTAGGCCTGGAACCTGCTACCAGTTAAAGCCTAACATCATGACGGTATAAGGGAGTTCAGGGAAGAACTCGGATCTGCGAAACGCGGGCAGACAGAAATGACAGTCAGCAAGTAATCAGCAGCTTTGGAGAACGAATCGAACAGGAGGATGACCTGGATTTCGCCTTCGTGCTTTCGTGTCGGCACTCGCTACTTGAAACCATGACCCCACAACCTGAACGCCTTGGAAATACTAACTGACTCTTTGCACACCGGAACTCGACGAGAAAGTTAGCAGGAAAGCGCCGTGCTGACTGACGAAGAAAATCACTTCGTCTTTGAGTTCATACAGCCAGGCCAGCATCTAGGAATACCGCTAGGGAAGAAGTGGGAAGCAAACTATGGGCATGAAGCACGAACAACGGATAAGACAATAGCGAACTGTCACTAAGCCTCGATCGGTTCAGTTCATTGCCTCAACCTTCGTGGTGAACAACGAAGGATCCGTTGCCATTCAAAACAAGTCAGCTCAGTCATTCCTGGCTTGACGCGATGCCCGAAAAGACAGTCTCAGACAGCTGCCGTGGCTGGGATAACCGCAAGCCATGTAGATTCCAACGCGTAAGCACAGGCAGGTCTGTATCGACAAAGTGCTGTCGCTACGACGACGTTTTTTCATTACACATCTGCTCTGTGTCTATGAGGCTACTGTAACATTGAAATGGCTTGTGCTTTTTTCACGCATCTGTAGCTAATACAAAAATCCTGCATCGCACTCCACGACCACGAGGACGGCGACGACGACAAGTCCAGATTACAAAGGCACCTCTGCAACTCGCCAGGGCCCGCCGAAGTTCCGGGCCGCTGAAATCATATCACACCTGAGACAAGCAGACAGGTGCCAATGCGACATGCTGCCTTCACCTTGCGAGTGTCCACGGACTGCCCGCCCTCGCAACAGCTACCACAGGCCATCTCTTTCGCTCTCTCTCTCTCTCTCTCGCGTCCCCCGACCGATGGCCATACCAAAACAAGTAACAAGCGATGCAGTACAACAAACTGAGGCTTGGGCCCGAGTCGGCAGGGGACTCAAAGGATTGGGGTGCTGGGCCAAAAACGTGCTTTTGCCCCCTGCTGCATTGAGCAGGTCTTGGATTTCCTATAGGTGGAGTGAAGTCGAATTGAAGCTCAGACAGTCCCCCGAATTCTCACTGAGCTCACAGGTGAGTTGAAAAGATACAAGGATTTTCGGGCGTTGTGGCCCTATACACGGGTTGAACGGAGATGGCACTAAGCCGTTAAATTTTCACACCTATCCCCCTCAGAGTCTGCGACGGTCTTTTCTCAGTAGCGGCACACCACGTCGTCGAACAAAACTTGCAAGGAGACGAGTCCCCCATAAGGAGTAGGCTTCTCCTTCAGCGTTCAGAGGCATCATCTTGTGCACGAGTTCGTGCTGTACGAGCTTTGGCCATATGCTCTTGTATCAGCTGCACTCCCCGCCAATGCTCGTTGGGAACGAGGTGGATGCGTCCCCTCTCGCTTGGTTCACTTGGTCGGAGTGCAAGGTGGCTCGGGCTGTCACCTCGGTCAGAAGGGCGACCGGCTTCCCCCCAAGGCCACTCATGCGACGGCGCAGCATCGTCACCAGAGCTGTCTCCCCAGTCAGGTGGCGTATCAGCATCCACGGTCCCCCTTCTCTCACTGACTGTGTCTTCGTTCTCCTTTGTCGCATGCTTGGTTCTTGTTGTTGAACTTGGCTCTTCACTCTGTGCATCGTCACGGTTTGTTCCCCCCCCCTTGTGGAACACATGGTGCCGCCTCTGGTGTAGCAGCTTCCCCCGGGCTGTTGGGAATTTTTTGTCTTGGTTGACTTCCTCTTCTCCGCTATTTGCGGATCTGCTTGCGGACCTTCCTGATCTGTTTGAGCAAGCTCCCCGCCTGTTCTGGAAAACGAGCCACGTAGATGCGTGCTTCAGCAAACACCTTCGGCTGGTATTTATCCACCAAACGGGGGTACTTTGTCCACCACGTCCCCCATATGGCAGCGCCGGGAGTGCCTTTTGCAGAAGGCCATATACGAAGCGGCTAGCTTCTTGGAAAGTGGTTTCCTTGTGGCAGCATCTCTGTATCCCCCGGCACTCTGGTCTTCGAGAACTTCCTTCCCAATCCAAGCGTCCATGGGTTGAGGCAAGAACAACATCAGGTTCCCCTGCCTCGTCCGAACTGGGTCATCTCCGACAGCGGTCGCGAGGAAGTTGCAGCGTCCCCCTTTGGGGGGGGGTGGCTGCTTACTCGGTGCGGCTTCTGACGACTGTCGGGGTCTGCTGTTCCCCCTATCCGTCACCCCATGCAAACGGCAGTTTGGGTCTGTACGTTCGTGTTGTTTCCGGAAACCTGTGATGCATACACCATCCCCGAACTTACAAAGCTTGCATTCCTTCGCCATCCCCACGTAGGTTGATCTTCACTATCTTGTCCTTCCTGCCAAAATCACGTTCTGGTACCGGAAGGTTTCCCCCGCCCAGCGTCCAAGTAGCGGAGGGTCGGCGAGTTGGCAAACAGAAAAGTGTTGTGGGAGCAGTGGAACGTGATCTCCCCGGCAGGCGCGCTGAGGATGAAGGTGTTGCAGTCACGGAGTCCCCTTCAAAGTTGAAGTGTTCGATCTTTACCTTCACGGCTATGGCACACGGACCTTTCCCCCCACGGGGCCTCTGAAGCAAAGCGGCAGCAGGTACAGGACTCAAGCCTCCCCCCGCTTGAAAGGAACGTCCTCCCTCCAAGGTTGCTGGGGACAGCCAGCAGCCTCAGAGGGCCGTCCTCAAGCGCCCCCCCCACGAGGAGAGAGCGGCGGGTCGACTTGAGCCAAAATGGCTACTCTCTCTCTCTCTCTCTCTCTCTCTGCGTCTGACGTCTGCGTCTGAAGCCCCCTGGAGTCGAAGGCTGATCTCTCTATCTCGCGCGCGGACGCGCTCCTGCGGATCCCGGTTGGTTTTCAGTCCTCGGAAATTACACTCCCTCTTGTTGAGTTCTATGTGTAGTCGACAGCGAGAGTGACCAAAGTCTCCCCCCCCCTCCCGCCTATTTGGCTCACCATTGTGCAAAACAGAGCATGTTCAGACCGGACATGACACATACCTGAGACCTGATATCACGGACATACCACAAGATTGGACTATATGCGAAGCACAAGGCGTCCAAAGACAGCCGCGCAGGAGCGACGGGACTTCTAACAAAAACATGCAAAGCCTTTCAGTCGGTCTCGGTTGGAATGGAGCGAATTAGTGACCTCTAGGTCTTCCGAGTTCGTTTGGCACAAGACTAGCTGCAGCTGATCTCTCTCTGTCTCTCTGCCATTGCATCCTGATGGTGCATTATACCCGCCATCGTACGTCAAGCCAGCACATATCTCCAGCTGCTGTAACCGGGGCTCCCGACACAAAACCTCACCGGAGGCCTGAATGCTAGGCGACGGGAACAGACCACACAACATAAGCTCGGACACACTGCAGTCGCAGATCACTACGACAGGGCTGCAAAATGCTTGCGCGTGCCAGTTTGCAGAAGCTGGCTGTTTGGCACAATGCGCACCATCGGTCCATCGAGACTCTGCAGCGATTCTGGGCTTCAACTGCAAGAGTTTAAGAGCACCTCGCCGTGCCATCTGGCAAAACCATCCAAGAGTCTCTGCACTCGGGCCCAAGCGGGGCAGCCTGTGACTGCCTCCTCGGCATCCGACTCAGTCTCGGTCGCCATGGTGCTGACCTAGTGAGGAAGTCTGCTGGTTCCGCCGAACGGGGCACTGGCTCCTTTATGAACCCTGCTTTTGCTCGCTTGTTGCACTTTAAAGCCACGCGCCGCGGCACAACTTCAGTTCAGGGCATTGACCATTGAACCGAAGTCGGGGAAACAGCAAGCATCGCAGCAAGCACGGGAAGGCTCTAGACAAGCTTCTCCAAGGGCAATGCGCGGCAGACCGCGGAGTGTGGAAGAAAGGCCTAGTCGACGCTTAGTCTGCAAATCCCTGCCTGAGGATGGCATGGCTTCTCATCTCTAACAGGCTCTAAAGGGTCGGGAGCCCCTTGCTGGACGAGCGGTACATCTGTATCTCCTTTCCGTCGTGTCATGAGATCCTTGTTCTGCGGGGGATATGCAGAGCGTTGGCATTTTCCATTGCTGACCTGGACCCCGAAACAGAAACACAATCTCAAAACTTTGTCTTTGCTGTCACAACTCGGACTCGCCACATGCGGTCTCAAGGTCACCAGCGAAGGCATGCGACACAAGAGCAACTTGCAAACTGTATAATAAAAATTGACTTCGTTTTGTGATGGGTGTTTCTGAATCGCTTTGCCTGCCAAATCTAAAGCTTTGACTCTCGCCAAAAAAGCTATGACTACGACGAATCTCTGGCAAAGAGACTAACTGCAATCAAAACAAGTCAAAGACGTGATTGAGCAGCCATGTTGCAGATGTGCTGGACACTGCTCGCCACTTGCCTCCGTCTGTGCTGTGGAACAATGGAAGACGACAAGCAATACTGACGCTCAGCTACGACAGGCATTCGGCTTTCGGATGCCGTCGACTATCGCACGCATAAACTCAAACTAATTATCTTTGATTCACGGTCCTAGATGATGAAGACTGAGTTGGCAGTACTGCAGCAAGACCCGTCGGCCTTGAGTCGCAGGTGCAGAAAGCCATTTGCAATCCCAAACTGTGCGTTGCGACTCCTGGCGATTCCCAGCCCCAAGCATGACAAGCCGGAGTGCATGGAAGGCCATGAATGTCTGGAGAGGCAGCACGGATGAATTAAAGTTGAAAGCCACCGACTTGGAATGTCCACTGCTTGTTCGAGCTTCCAAGCCCTGAGAAAACATCGCGGGCGCTACTGCCTAGCACGCAATTCTTTTGCCACTCGGTCTCGAGAGGTCCCGCCCGTCGGCACACAACACAGTTCAGCAGTGCACATGCAAAACCTCACTGTCACTCATGCCAACGGTTCTCACATCCCTAACATTGGCCTGAGGTTTTGAGCTGTAAGATCTTCGGTATAAGGTTCGGGCTCCTCGACATCAAGATACCAGGCGAACTTGCCGTCGAGAGCATACTGCTTGAGGCTTACTACGAAGGCTTGTTATTGAGCCTCCAGCTGCTTCAAATGCTTGATCTTGCCAAGCTTCTTTCCTGTAGTCAAACTGGGATCGTAAACGATACTCCAGCGCTGTCCATTGGAAAAGAACTCGAGCAGGCCCTTTTTGGCCGAACAGTTGGACTTTGTAAGCCCGTCTAGCTGAGCAACACCGCTCACCCAGTGAAGCTTAGTGTCTATGCGCAAAGCCTGTTGGTAGGAGGCTGTCAACTCGAACCCTGCACGAGAAGAACGAAGACCGTGGAGGGAGCTCGGGTTGCGCATCATCGCATCGAAGATCCTTTTGGAGTTGATGATCAGGGCGAGCTTGGCACTTCTTCCTTAGTGGCGGGGGCGTTTCAGCTGCTGAGGGCGCTCACGAGAAATTGGAATCTCCTCTGACGCAGTCTTCCTGGTCCATGAGGATGCCTTGGGGCATCTGGTTGATGAAGCAACCAGCGAAGCTGAAGCCCTCCGAGGCCAGGGACCATTTGCCGAAGCGGAAGCTAGAGCGCAGGTGCTCTTTCGCTATACTGTAGCATGGGTCCTGAGACTTCCTTGCAATCCGAGAATCATCCACGTGAACACCAGAAAGAGCGATCAACTCGCCCGTCTTGCTGTAAAACCCAAACAGACAGCGGTCAAACTTCATCTGCTTCCATCCGAACTGGATCAGGGCAGCGACCACTGACTCGTACTACTTTCGTGTACTTTCGTGGCGCATGGACCAGCCCATAAAAAGCTTTCACAAGCTTGAGCAGGAGCACCATGCCAGGCTCTTCGGGTCAAGTCGCCCTGGCTCTGGAGGAAGGTCGAGGACATGTCCCCGGACTCCAAGTCGAACTTGTGGTTGGCCGCCGCGGTGAGCAATGCGTTGCGTGACGTACGCGACAAGGTGGGAGAGGCTGCCTCCACGCCGGTGACGTTGCGAGCCTGGTAGCCCAAAACCACAAGTCGAACTTTCGCTCGACCGTCGCTTTTCCTTGTCAGAACCCAGCGCATGCTCATGATCTTGTTCCAGTCGGCATTGCACGTCTCTTGCTTGCTCAAACACCGCACAGCACACTCGCGGACCACGTTGGAAACTTCCGCAGCCTGGGCCTCGTCGACCTCTCGTTTCTCCTGAAAGGAGAGCTGCCGCCAGTTGACTTCCTTCTACTTCTCAGCCATCTTCTGGGACAGCCACGCAGTTGATTTCTTGCGGCTTCTTGACCAACTTGGCATCAGCCTTGGTGAAGTCAATCTCGCAGGCGATTCTGAGGAACTTGTCGGCCTCATTCTCGACGAAGTCAACACGACGCTTCTTAGCATCCTTCTCTGGCAGAAGCTCGTCGGAGCTGTCAGTTCCCTCCGAAGACGTAGAGTAAGGAGCTGCGCTTACATGCTCCTCTTCATCCTCTTCAAGGCCAAACGGTTGAGGAGGAAGTTCTGCCAAAGGAAGTCCGGCTTGAGGTCCTTCGCTGCTGCTCCAGCTGCCGGCACAGGAGGCTCTGAAAGCATCTCCGTGTCGGGCTGCGCAACAGCTGGCGCCGAAACATGTAGAAACGAAGTCTCAGGTTATTAGAGACTGGAAGGGTCGGTAGAAAGGCCGAAGAAAGTTGGGAGCACTCCACCATCAGCCGGATGATTGTGAGAACCTGGCTTGGGGCAAAACAGAGCCCGGAAGTGGTTTCTCACAGACTCGGCGGCATACTTCACAAGCCGCGAGATGGTGGAGTTCGCGTCGGACAGCGGTGTTGCCGTGCTCGTTGCCCCAGCCGAAGCCCACTGGCTACTTGGTGCCGAAGAACGCACCATTCAAGTTCTCAAACGCACTGTTGGTTAGTTGGAACGCGAAGAGCTTGATTCGAGCATTGACACCATGTCTACTTTGGCTGCTCACGCACACAACAGCCGTGTGAATCATGCAACGGGATACTCCCGGTTTCAGTGGGCCCGCGGATGGTCCCCTGAAGCCTCTCTTCCTATAGGCTTAGATCCCGACAGGGCTTTCGGCAGGACCTTGTTGCTACGGGCAAAAGCCGAGGAGAGCTATGTGAAGGCCGATTCGGCGATCAAGCTGTCGAAGCTAGGGAACACCGTGGTGAAGGCATCCAGCAGATATCGCCCTGGCTCCGTGGCCATGCTGTGCCGAGCTCGTGTTCGAAAGGGCCATGGACGGGACCGCTTCGGGTCCTCCTCCAAGAAGGGAGCACCGTTTGCTTGGCAACCGGGGCGACTCTTGTTCGGGTCAAGCTGAACCCAGCTTCGTCTGTGCACCGTGGCGGTCACCACCGAAGGAGCCCAAGTTCATCAGACTGCTGTGGACTCGACATCCGGTGACGAGCTTAAGAGAACCTGGAGCCGGCTGAAGTCCTTGTTGAACCTCCTGCTCAAGAAGGCCGGCCCGAGAAAGACTCTTGGGAGGTCTGCGAGGGGATGCTGGTCCGCAAGCACGCCGGGTCGGATTAAGGAGCTTCCGGTTCCGGAGGAGCAGCTCACCGGAAAGCGCCGGACCATCATTCGGGGACCTCATGGCATTCAGACCATCAATGACAATTTCAAGGAGGACCCCAGACCTTCGAGAGCACTGATGGAGAGGTGGCACGGAGAGACTCAGTTTGAGCTGGTAGGGCTTTCTGACGAGGCTTCAGAGCCAGCCGTTCCAGCACCTCCCCCTAAACCTCGAACCCCTATCAACCATGATCAAGAACTGGACTTCATCGCAACATCCTCGACAACATGCTCGACTTCAAGGACATCAAGTCCCAGCACTTCCCAAAGAGCAGCAGGCTCCTCTAGGCTCGCTTGCGGGGGGGTCCAACTTTCCTTTTCGACTCTTCACACTCAGCACACGAAAGGTTCTTCGCAAGCGAAACAGCCCACTCAGGAGCACCTCGACGAAGGAGAAGTCGGGAGAGGTGGTCGAGGGAGGAGTGCCCCGACGAACGGTGCACCCACAGCATCATCTCCTTAACTTGTTGAAGTCGTCGTCCTGTGGGTTCCTCGGAAGGCAACGAGGTCGGGGGAGCCATTTGCGTAGATCCGAGAAATCCTCGCCGGCAGCCCACGCTTCCACATCCTCTCGAAAAGACTTGCCCTCACGCGGATTTCCCACAGCACTCCTTCCATGACATCATCACATAGACGCCGAGGAAAGGGAACTCGCCCAGGTAGAGGAGGATGTTCTTTGTGTCCCAGGCATCGGCGTCCTTTAAGCATGGAGGCCAAAGAAGAGCTCGACGTAATGATGCACCATCTTTTGCGATGGTCAGGGGCCTGCTGCGGCCTGCAGCGAAAGAACAGCCGTCCACCACGACGTCGTAGAGGTCGCATCCTCGTTGCCTGGTGCTGTCGAGGATCATCTGGGTCGCCTCACAGTCATGGCCGTAATTCACGTCGTAGGGCCACTCCCAAGCAAAATGGCGACCAGCATCAAGTTGAGCACAAGCTCCATTCGCCAACTCACAGGCGATGTCCTTGCAACGGGGTTGCCCACGAAGTTGGTTTCGCCATTTCCCGGCGAGATCTCCATGCCGGGGCTTTTCGGTGAGCTCCTCACAGGGCTCGCAATCCAGACAAAGGCCGGCGACTTCACACACAGCTCGGCAAAGACCTGCGTCGCCACACTCTTCTTTTGCAGCTGGTGCCCGAGGTCGGTGGAGAAGCCCTCATAGGTGCTGCCCATCTCGGCCGCGGCGGTGCCAAAGTGGCCATGGAGAGACACACCATTGATCTCCCAAAAGCTCCGCCGATGGTAACGAATTCATCAAAACTGTCGTGGTCACAAAGGGGCAGCAAAAAATAGCCCCAGCAGCACGCATGGCCCGTCGTGCGGCGGTCGTGAAACACCTTTGCCTCGAAGGCAACCCCTTCACCACAGCCTCCTCATCCTGATGATCATTAGTCGGGCGCTCCACACCCACATCATCATCATCGCCGGCTGGGGTTCCAGCCTTCACTGAGCAGAGCCCTTCATGCTGGCATCGCTCGGCATGCTCCGGGCTCCCTCGGAGCTGGACGATCTTCTCTGTGACCTGGTCCAGGTCGTCCATCGCCAGCCAGTGCCACGATGTCCACGGTCGCGCCACCCCAGCGGTCCTTGCCGTGGCCTTGCTTCTGGCAGTCTCGTAGAAGACCCGGAGCCCGCACCGAACGCGCGTCTGTCACTTCCCAAACTGGTTCCGCTTCAAGCCCCCGGCCTTGTGTCGGCCGAAGCATAGCCAGCCGGTCTGGCGAGGGTCGCCGAAAGGAGCTGCTTCCCTCTCCTTTGACTGCGCCATGGGATTGCCGAAGGCGAAGCTGGGCAAGTCGCAGGGCTAAGCTTCCCAACCTTTGTGCCAAGGACCGTCGGAGAACATGCGGGCACACTCCTCACTGACTCGGCAAACACACTCTCGACATGCACTGCCGCTTGGCACTGGGGCTCAGGAGGATCAACAACACAATCAGCAGAAGGTGCGTGAGCTAGTCCACAAAGTGCTCCCGATTCACATGTACATGAACTACAGCATGGTAAACTGCATGGATTCTGAGAAACATGCACACACTGGCCGTACACTTTTGCATCTGCCCCCAGTGTCACGGCACCAACTGGCTGGACTTTGTCGCCAGCACGCGACTGCTCTGTGCCAAAAGTCTCGGAACCACCCTGGTACATGTCATTCTGTGGAATCGCGCCGTAAGTCTCTGGGCCACCCTGGTACATTGACATGTCATTCTGCAGAATCGCGCGGAGGGTCTCGAAGCCACCCTGGTACATGTCATGCTGGGGAATCGCGCCGAAGGTCTCGGAGCCAGCCTGGTATAGGTCATTCGGGGAAATCCCGCCGAAGTTCTCGGCAATGTCCCGGTGGATCCCTTAGGCCTCGAGCTCGTCCAGGCCGAAGGGCGCACACGGGCTCAGCCTTCCATCTCGGTGCTGCCATCCGCAAAGTGGTAGATCGCATAGACAGGCTCGGCCCAACAGGAAGACTTCCCCTTCCCCTTGTGCTCACCAGGCTTGCCACTGCCCTTGAAGCGCTGCGGGATACTGCGTCCTTTCTGCTTGCCACCCTTGGAGAGGCCCGGACCTTCTCGTTAGCAGCCCTTGCTTCTGCCATGGTGCGGTTGGCCTCGGCTGCGAGAATCGCTGCGTCCTTAAAAACAAGGGTGTCCTCCTCTGTGCCCTCTTGCTCGGCAAGCTCGGAAGTGCCATGCTCGCCGCCCTCGTCGGCCACGTCTAAGGCCAAGGCCCCCACCATCCACAAGCCAGGCTTCCTCATGGCCCATCTTCAACCCACCAAAGGCCTGCCTGCTGAGCCTTCTCAAATGCAACAGCGCTGGAGGTCAAAGTGAGAATCTGCATCGTCTGGCCATTGCTCAAGCCCAGCAGCTTTCAAGACACGATAGCCCCGAAGCTCGTCCTCAAAGAAACCCACAGAAGAAGGCCTTGGTAAGGGAGCCACGCGCTCCGGCTCAGAAAGGGGCTCGGAAGAGTCACCCGCCTCATCAGCTGCCTCTTTTGTCACATGGTCCTTGGCTGAGCTCGGCGAGGCTGCTGCTGCCGCTGCTGTCGGCGAGGTAGGCGTAGAGGTCGAAAGGCCAGGTCCTTCCATCATGTCCGTTCTCGCCCTAGACCGCATCAGGCCGAGCTGAAGTTCATGAAAAAGGTCGGCCTCACGAACTACTAGTTCAAGAAAGCATTCGCCATCTTTCCTCCGAAGAACATGCCAGTGCTCAAGCCTACTGAAGGAGTCCGGATCGGCAAAGTCGGCAATAGGGCGAGGGACGCAAAACAGCCAGCAGCTTCTCCAGACCACCTGGCACATCGAACTCATCAGGGCTCAGGTGGCGAACCAACGAGCCGGCTGGTCCAGAAAGCTTGCTCCACAGACTCTTGCTGCTGCGCCCCTCCGCTCGCCTTCCTTCAAGGTTTTCTCATACCAACGACGGGCCGTCTCAAAGGTATGGAAGAGGCCCGGATCTCCGTTCCACGAGGGCACATCAGTGCTGAAGTCTTTGCTCATGCGTCGCACCAAAGGAGGTCTTGGATCTTCTCGGGGTATGGTCGCTGAACTGAGGAGCTCTGCTGCCATGTTCGAGCTATCAAGCCCTGAGAAAACACCGCAGGCGCTACTGCCTAGCACGCAATCCGTTTGCCACTCGGCTCGGTCTCGAGAGGTCCCGCCCTTCGGCACACAACACAGTTCAGCAGTGCACATGCAAAACCTCACAGTCACTCATGCCGACAGTTGTCAAGCTGTTCATGGCACTGCCGATCCGCGGCAAGCACGGGGCTGCGAGCCTGCGAGGATGTAGACCTGCAAAGATGAACCAAGAAAAGCTCAGATTTGCTTTCAAACATGCTAGTCAAATTCCTATTCTTCCTTTTTTGAGAGGTGCTCCCAAGACGGCCCCGGCCATGGAAGATGGCCCCCAAGCCTTGTCTTCACGAGGCCGATCCTTTGCGAAGGCAACAGGAGGAGGAGCTCGGCCATCAGCTCGATCAGGGCCGAGGAAAAGAACTTCGTCTCAGGAACAGGCAGGCGCGCGTATAAGGCTTTACACAAGATCAAAGGACAACACAAACGCCAAGTCGCTCCAAAACGCATCAAAAACTGGTAAGATCTCGAGTGCGGAGATTTCGAGCTGTGCGACAGATCAGCCGACTCTGCATGCTTACTTGCCGGGGTTCATCGTGGCTTGCACGCGACCCACAGGTACGGCCTACAACAGACAGACTCTATCAAAAACGCTTCCAAGATCTTCCAAGCTACGCAGGCTTGGCCGCAAGCGTGAGTGTTTGCTACCCGGCCCCGGCATGTGGGGAAGTCATTACCCCGTGCATACTGCACACAGATAGATTACAAGGAAAACAAGCTTGACGAGATGGCCCTCCTATGGAGCATGGGCATATTGTGCGCGCTGGCTACGTTTCGCCCAGCTCGGGCTGCCGGTGCTGCAAGAGCTGCACAGCATCCCAACACCAACTGCGAAAAGAAGCGCTGAAAGCAGATGAGATCACTGACACAACAGGCACAACACAACATCTCCGAATCTCAACGACATGGCGACCAATGTCGAAATGCGAAACCAAACAAAATCACCTAAGTGCCTTGTGGAATTTCACACCCACCACTGGAAGTTGAAAGGAAAAAGGGCTGCGAGTGCGCTTCAACCAAACAATAAACAAGGTTTTTCGACCGTCGCATGCAAGGAGCAGGCTGCTTCAACCGTGAAACTGGGAGCGAAACACCATGTTGCAGCTGTTGCACGTTGCCTGCACAACCTTCCCTCACGGCCTCGCATCCCTGGAATCACAGCCGGCCGACTTTCCCGCGTGGCATGACAGGATTTGGACCAGTTCCGATTTTGCGGCTAGGCTTCTCTGACTAAAATCAAAGTGCTTGAAATGACTCGCAGTTGTCATTTTGACGCTTGCACTCGAAGAACTGCACCAAAACACTGCTCGGATTGGTCTCGCTGTACTGTGTCTGCCGCAACTTCTTCATACAAAAGCTTCCATGCTGTGGAAATAAGGTGCTCGCAATGTCGCTTCGCTGGAAATATCGGCGAATGCCATGACCTGACGCGAGTGTACTTCAGTCTGCAGGATTCTGAGCAAAAGAAGCGGATGCAACCCTCGTCACAATTCATCGCTAGTGCTTCCTTCTGAGCAGCCGACAGCTGACCCAATCGAAAATCCGCGATCGCCCAGGTTTTGTCGATGTCCATGGATAGTTGCCGACTGCCATGGCCTCGCCCGCACAGCTGTCGATTGTGGAGAAAAGCCCTGTTAGAATTCGAAACGGCTAGCACTTCGAAATGCCCGTCTGACTATGACCAGATACAGTAAGACAGCCGGTCGGGCAGCCCTGCAGAAACCAATGCTCTCTCATGTCAATACCCGGGTCTCTGGCATAGACCACAACACCCAATGCGAATGAGTCTGCTTGGAAGCCGTCGTACTCACCTGAGATGGCAACTCAAGACAGGCCTCACGCAGGTCGGGTAGCTGCATGTCTTGGTACAGTCACAGGCTCACGTCAGCTCGCCACAGTCTCACAGAGAGAGTGAGAAGAGAAAAAAGCAAGAGGCAGACAGAAACAGAAACTGAGACAGAAACAGTAGCAGAGACCGGCAGAGACAGGGACCCAAAGACAGAGAGAGGGACAGGGGGAAAAAGACAGAGACAGGAGAAGAAAGACAGTGACAGGGCAAGAGGCAGACAGAGATAGACAAAAGAAACAGAAGAGACCCTCACTGAGAGCGCCGCGACGCAGATGGAGCTCCGGCGCCTGGTAGGAGGGCTTGCCTGCGTCCCACATGCGAGATTGAACGAGTAATACTAGGAGACCACCAAGCCCAAGCCTGGGCTTAACGAGGCCACAGGCGGGCATACCCGCCCGATGTGAGCCTGAAGAAGGGTTCTGAGCTTGACCAGAAGAGCCGAGCTGCGTGTGTGTTCGGCTGGCGTCTGATGCTAGACTGGAGGGCTCGAAAAGACTGTCGCGAGACTGCGTCTCCCCCGTGCTCCGCAAGGTAAGCTACGAAGGTTATGGACTCTACACTTTTCCTGAGCTGAAGACCATGCCGAAATCGATGAGCTTCACCGTTTGCGGCGCCGTCGAGTTCGGCCCTGCCATGACCAATGTTGGAACAGAATGAGCTCTGATTCTGGTCTCACTATCATCAAAAATTCATCTTACATGCAAAAGCAAGAGAGGCTCCGGGACAACGCATGGGTGCTGGCTGCTGGAAAGTCAGCACGAATTGGCCCGCCAAGAGCTAAGCAGTCGCAGCCTCAAGCACCTTCGAAACTACAACTCCGGTTCTTTGTCTTCCCACAATTGCTGGCATCGCCTCCGCTGGGCACTAGAAAGCCACCACACCACCGCTGCTCAGCAGCTGCTTTGTGTCTTTGATCTAAGCTTCGATACGTAGCGTGTTGAAAATGAGCAGGTGTGGGAAAGCAAGCGCTCAGTATGGATGTCCAACCCCACTAACCACACATGCTGGGAAGATCAACGGACAACGGATGTGTTGACTTCACCGTGTTGTCCAGTCTGGAGCAGCAATTTGTTTGGTCGTCCGGGAGAGGCGTGTAGTAAGCTGCACTCAGCACAACATTGACAGGCTGCAGAGATGAGACAAGAAAATCGCGCAAACGAGGGGCTCCTACTGGCGGCTGTGCAACAGTCCGGATAGCCTGTCAACAAAAGATTCTCCAGTGATAGGTCACGATGTGCTATTCCCAACCTCGGAGTTTGGTGCTGGTCACGATGCTTCCCGCGGGCATCTCGGGCCCAAACGCATGGAGCCACTCCACTGCAGAAAATGTCTGGGCTACCAAGGGCAGCATCTCAGCCTCATTGAGGTTTCACCGAGAAGTCTTCAGTATGCAATTAGAGCCATTACAGAGCTTCTCTGACCTCCCGATCTGGCGTCGGATGCGGGCGATTCTCGCACCAGGAAAACATATCGCCTGACTTCTGCAGAGATAGCCAGTCATACAGCAACATTGACATGAGGTGCTGTTCTGTCGGCTCGTCAACAATACAAGAGGTGCCTCCAGTTGCCAGTGTCGTGACTGCCTGCTAGGAGGAAGCTCGCGCAGGGACCCTCTGTGAGAGTCTCTGGGAGTCTGGCATAAGTGTGATCTTCATCGCAGAAAACACCAAGCAATTCGCAAGTGGCAGAGTAGCCCTGAAGGCCGAGCGGTCCAAACATCGGTTTGGCCCAGAGTGCCCAGAGAGGCCCAGAGCCTTCTTCTTGAGTTCCGCCAGCACGCCGATGTTGCGCCACGGGTTTTCACACTCGTGAGGGTGCATGTCTGCGAACTCCTCAGGCCCAGATCGAATCCAACCTCGGACATGCATCAGCAACTTCATTGAACTTAGGCCGTAGGCCTTAGCCTGCAAATGTTGCCAGTAGCAGTAACAAGTGGCTGTACCCACGGGTGCCGCCCATGCAAACGACATGAACAGCAACGTAAGCACAGTCAAGACCCGGGGCTAGCCCCATTTCTACCATCCAGTGTTTCGGCGAAGGGGCTGTTTGGCATCCTCTTCACAGCCTCGGATTTCAGATCATATTCCCCAAGGCCCAAGCCAAGACGCAACATTCTGCCACGCACTTCACCGGTGCAGAGACCAGCAGCCACCGAGTGCTGATTCTTCCCTTCACTTTCCATCATATCCTCGATTAGTCAAGCCACTGGCTACAAGAGGGATCACGTAACTGGCAACATCTGATCTGCTCCTAGCGCCGCTGAGGAACCACGCGGCCATGGTTGCGGGCAGCCTCTTCTAGCTTCTTCACAAAGCGAAAACTGCCTGACCTTTGCGACGCAAAGAAGACGGCTGACACGTATCTTAACACAAGGCAGCAAGTTGGCATGGCAAGGTCATCACATTCTGAGGATCAGGCTTCCAGGGCCCCATGGTCGACGCAATAGTTTGCATGGACTCGGACAAGTCATCGGCCGAAATCTCCTGCGGCAAGTCAAGCTCGGCAACGAGAGCCTATGACCAAGTCAAACAGTGCAGTTTGGCAGCACGCCTCCAGCACACCACATGCACCTCCAAAGCTTTCACAAACCGGTTCACAACTCCGAACATGCAATTACAAGAGGCCTGGTGCCATTGCAGAGCAAAACTCCGACTTGGAGAGTCCACTAGGATGCAAGAGCCCCTGTGCCCTAGTCTCGGGTGTCGTGAATACGGATGACTGCCCCTTCATGCTTCTGTCTTCCCGATTCACGTCTTGTGACTACAAGGCCAGTATGCTGTCGAGTCGAGCCGGCAAAGCAGGCGAGTAGACTGACATGTCCAGCCTGTTTTGCTTTGTTTCGGCGTGTGAGGGGGGTTGGACATGCGCTCTGTTTCTTCACGAGGGTAGAGACGGCAGAGAAACGGGGGGGGCAACCCGCCTCTCTCTCGCTTGCTTGATTGCTGAAGAGCAAGGGCACCACACCGAGGTACCCCCCACCGCTATAGATTCGCCAAGCGTCTTGCGTCCAGCGCACGTCGGCGTGAAACCAGCGAGGTACTCCCCGTTTTGACACCTGTAACTGTAACCCGCCAAAGCCTGCCCCCGCCTGCATCCCGAACCAAACCGAACCTGGCACAGCACTGCCTCACACCTACCTGCCTGCCTGAAAACCCCGTCAGAAGCCTGAACATCCTCACACAAGCGGCAGCAGACATCACCCACAACATTCACTAGCAGCTGGTTGAAAAAGGCTTGCTTGCTTGCTTGCATGGGGTTTGGGGCCGAACCCCTGGCCGCCCGCATGCCAACCCCCCACGGTCCGCAATTGAAACAGGGTCTGTCTCTCTCGTTCTCTCTTTTCTTTCTTTCTGCTCTCTCTCTCTCTCTCTCTTTTTCCATCGGGCATAGCCGGGCACCAAGGCCCCCCCATAGGTTATGAGGCATTGGGCGGAGTGTGAGAGTATTGCAACGACACGAGTGCAGTTTTTTCGTGTCCCCTAATTCGAGGAAGGTGAATCCACTTGAGCACTAACCACAACAAGTTGAAGCAATATTTGGCCATTGTCCACAATATTTGGCCATTGTCCACGTAGTTTGTTCTTTGTGATCTTGTCGTTCTTGACCCAAGTCACGAACTTTGAGGTGATGGTGTCCTTCGCCCACCCTACTGGTTCTCCCCGGTCATTGTGGCTATCGAGGCAAGGTAGCGGTGGGTGAAGAAGTGTTCTTCCTCCCCCTCAGAAATGTCTATGTAGAAGACCTTGCACACTCGGTGCCCCACAATGGTGTAGTTCGGCACACTTGCCCTGCGCGAGTATGGCACAAAGTCCTAGCGGAAGCGTTGGGGCCTCTTAAGCAGTATGGCGTCGGATATGTTAGCTCACGCACCGCTGGAGAGCAACGGACAGGCTCGCCCGGGGCAAGCCCTGGGTCAACCTTCCGTCTCCCCCCCCCCGATGCAAGGAGGCGGAACAGGCCCCCAAGCAGGGGTGCAGCACTTGAGCCAAAATGGTTTCTCTCTCTCCCTCTGCTTTCTTTCTTTCGGCAGGGTTATGGGCAGGGGACTCTTTCTCTCTCTCTATCTCTCTTGTTCTTCCTTCAGGCCCAGGGAGCGTGCGAAGCTCCCCGGCCCATAGTCCAGGGCTTTCGGGGAGATGCTGCTACACGTACCACTACCCGTACCGAGAGTTTGCAACTATACCTCTCTCTCTCCCGGGACAGGAGACGCAAGCGGCAGCCCACCTCCCCCCGCGCGCGCACGCGCACCTGCGAGTCCTCTCTTCTTCAGCACAGCCAGAGAGAAGGCGGACACCCCTCTCGCGCGCGCACGCGCCCTGGTCTCCACTGTCTTGGTATGACTACCTTGAAGGATAAGGCCCGCTGTATCGAGTCCTCTCTCTCTCTGCCTCTCTCTTTCACAAGGGGAGAGGCTCTCTCTTGCTCTCTCTCTCTCTCTCTCTCTCTCTCTCTACCAGGTATGAGGGACGAGGTGGTCCTACCCCGCCCCTTGCACGCGAACGCGCTCCTGCGGTCCTTGGCAGGCTTGGTTCCCCCTGTGGATCTTGCCACAGAGGGCTCGGCTATACACGGAAAGGGTCCCCCTACTCGACTTTACAATGTATGGCCTTCGATGTAAAGACACTCCCCAGCTGACGATGAAAACAATAACCAGGGCAAATATCAGGGAAGATGGATGCTAAGGCTGCTAAGGCGGGGGCCCAAGTGTCAGCTGTGGAATGCCAGGTCGGGGCAGCGAGAACAAACATGCAGGCTTCCCCCCACTACATATGAGCAGGATCTGGTGTGTCACTGAAAGGAGCAGAGTTTTAATTGGGTCTCGCTGTTTGTTCCCCCAAATTAGTTTGTCGGCCGGAACAGGTTGAGCTACCAGGTGAGCTAAAACGAAGCGAGGATTGGGGGCGCTGCGGCCCATTGTACAGTTTGAACGAAGGGCGGCTAACAAGCCTAAAAAATTTCACACCTAGGTCTCAGATTCCCCCTCAGACGACGCTCAGATCTTTTTGCAGGTTCGCCATGGTTGACTGCGTGCACGAAGAAACCTCCTTTGTCACTGTCCCCCCCGACATCGTTGTCGGGCTTGCTCCATGTGGTGCTGCACTGC